ATATCGTTTCAATAAATTTTCATTGAAAAAGATTAAAATATTTTATTTTTAAAACATAAATTAAAGTATTTTTTATCTTTTTTTTTGTAATACTTTACTAAAATTATATAGTTTTGAAATAATTTTTCTCTTAATATTTAAGAGATAAGGTGAACAAAAGATAAGGTGAACAAAAGATAAGGTGAACAAGTATTAATCATTTTAGTTATTTAATAAAATTTAAAAATTTTATTTTTATTTTATTTTATTTTTAAAAATTATTTTTAACAGATTTTTAAAAATTATTTAATTAAATAAAAATATTATATTTTTCTTTCCTCCACTTTCATCTAAGTCTACTATCAACCTTTTTTTTCTCTTCACTTCTCTTCTCTTTCCTTCTCTTCTCCTTTACTTCCTTTCCTTTACTACTATTTATTCAAATAGACGCTGAGGGTGGTTTGTGCTGTCAGAAAGTTTTGCTTTCTCATGCGGCATCATGATATGCTGGGTTTTCGCTGTTTTATGGGGGTTGGATAGGTCAAAGGAGTATCTAAGAACTATGCCTTCAAGGGGTTCCTTGCGCGTGCCAGTTGTTTTAACGATTTTGAGATGAACATGTCCTCTTGCTGTCTATCGTACTTGACTTGTGTAATCTACCAATCAATTCAATAACTTTAATCTGCCAATGACATTGTTAATTTCCTCATCTTTCTTTCTCATTCCTTCTGCCTCAGTTTCTTTTTTTCTTTCTTTTTTCCTTATTTTAATGTCGGTCCTATCCGAGGTAGGCTATGCATGCGAAAGGAGGAAATTTGCAAGGAATTTAATTTTCCTGATGGCCTCCCTAAGTAGGCTATTCAAGCTGAAATGACATTTATAAGGAATACGGTCTTCCACTCTTCCTCATTGCCTCTATGCTGAACCAAGATTACCGTTAAGGGAACTTTTTTTTTTTTTTTTTGGTTACATAACGAAAGGTAATTATTTTTTATTTATCATCTCATCCTTTTTGTATGTCATGTGATTCGAATTCAGAATTTTTTATTTTAAGCGGAAAGAAATTATTATTATTATTATTATTATTTTTGAACAAGTTGACAAGAGACGGGTTCGAAACCCGCCCATGGAGGAGGGGAAATGCACCTCAAGCTGGCAGGCTGGCAGTTGGCCTGAAAGGTCAAGTGCGAAAGAAATGATTATTGAATTATTTAGATCGTAGAAAATGAATTAATATTTTTAAAATTTGTAAAATTAAGGGCACTCTCGAGGTTGATATTGAGAAAGCTAGAAGAAATTTCTCAAGTGAGTTCAATATTAGGTATGTTGAGGGAAAAGTTTTTATAACAAAATGTGGGAAGAAAATAGAAAAGCTAAAACTGTTAGAAAAAATAAAAGTTGAAAATATTAATTCTGTACTTTATTTGTTATTGTACTTTATTTGTTTAAAATATATTTTTTAAAATTAAACATTTAAAAATTATTTATGTATATATTTACGTTACTCTTAAAAAAAAAATAAAAAATGACTTTTGGGCATAGGATGAATAAAAATAAATAGATAACAATTGGATTAGGGTACAAAAAATATTTATTTATTTTAAAAAATAGAAGTTGACAATTAATTTTGGTTAAATTCAAAGTTAGAAAACAGTCGATCATGTTTAGTTGGGGATATGAACCCATTAATTGTTTTAGATAGGCCAAAGCCTCTATTTGCATCCTCCATTTATTTCTTTTCCGCAGTCAACACCTTTTAGAATTTTTCTTCCCTATTCACACTTTTTACTTTTCAAAACCCGTGAAAAACTCAACATTTTAACGAACCGTCAAGGCACCGTTAAAAAATGCATTACGTGGCACCCAAAAGTTGACGTGGCACATGCGGGGTTTCCTTATTCGTTAGGTTCAAATGTGAATCTGTTTTTTGACGATGTGGCTTCTTTTTTGCACACGTGGATGCCACGTGTGCAGTGGGACCCACTGCACAGGACTTTTCCCACTTGTCCCTGCGTCCCCACCAAAAAAAAAAAAAATTTAGGGGGTTCCTCGTCGTGAGGAACCCATGAGGAACTCAACTCTGGGTTCCTCGTCGTGAGGAACCCGATCTGGGTTCGAGCTGATCAGAAGTTAAGCAGATCGGAAGTTCTCCTCACCAAAAACAAACAGAAACAAAATAGGAGAGCTTACTGACGTAAAGGCCGCTCTCACCGCTTAAAAGCAAAAAACAAAAAAACCCTTCTTGGCTAAGCATACGTCCTAATTACTCTTCAAACCATTATTGGATAATTCCAACACATTACACACAATAAACAGCTTTCCTTATGCCAATTGTCATGGTAGAACAAATCCAACACGACACAGGAAATAAAACTAATCAAAGAAAGATAAAATAACTCGACTTTGCAACCAAAATGAAGTATTGGAATTTGCTACCGCTACGGCGGCGACGGCGATGTTAGGAGGAGAAAGAGATTAAAAGATGTTGACTTTCAAGATCCTAAATTTATCCTATTATAAATTAACTTGAAAACAGTGAATTCATAACCAAAACAATAAAGGAAAAAAAGAAAAATCCCAAAATATCTTTAGATTGAACTGAAAGGTACCTGAATTGAAAGAGTAGAGCTGAGGGTGAGAAGCTGGGATGGTGGATCTGGGTGAGGAACCCGATCTG